TTTAAAAGGTAATATTGTCTGAAACATAATATCTCATTAATATTTTTGATAATTTTTCAAAAACAAACTCTCGATAAAACTGTGGCATAGTTTTTTTATACATGATTAGTGATATAACATTATTGTGGTAATATATTTCTACAACATTCTCCGGAATGTTATTAAGAATATTCTCAAGACGAGAACATTCTTTTTAATATGTTTTTATTATATTTTACGTTATTATAAAATGGTCCTGAATTAGCCAACAAATTAAAATTGGCCACTTCCAAATTTATCTATTTAGTTTCAGATAATTCGATCAAACTAAGTTAAAAATATACTTTACTTCAAATAAAAGTTAATCAATTATTCAGTTTTATGTTTAAGAGTTTACAAACGCTTTAAAGTTATACTTAGTTAAATCATTTAATAAGAGGATTATTAGTATTAGTATTCGTTTTTTAACATCTAAAAAACTTAAGAAGTCATCTAAGAATTTTAAGAATTTTCAAGTTTAATTAAATATTCTTAAAGAAATTTTAATTTTTAGAAAATTTAGTTCGTTTTCTTTTAGAATACATTTTATTGTAATAAAATGCAGAAACATTTTCTGAGAATTTTCATTTGTAATATCACTACACATGATAGAAAATATACTTCATTAAAATATCATATAATTAAATATAATAAAACCCATTTTTATGACTTATCTGCTTTAGAATTAACACAACCATTGTTAAAAATTTGACAAAAACTAAATTTACGTTAAAAATTTCTCAATAAACACTTAATAAACGCTTTATAAAAGAGTTATTATCATATATCAACTATATTATATTTTTGCTATTCTATTGATTACAAGAAATTCAATGGTGAAATAGATAATTGCAAACCAATTTAAATAAAATATCTTGTATCTTTGAATAGATTAGCTTTTTATCTAAAAAAAAGGTCACTAGAGAAGAATAAAAGAATGTCGAGACGATAATATAAAGTATTATTGTACCTAAACCACGTCGCACCCGGTTCAATTACTAAATTCACTTAAGGCATTCTTTGTACTATTATACATTTACATTTTTTATAAAAAGTAGCGCCTACTAAATTTCTTAAGAAAAACAATTAACTGTCTGTTTTTACTATTGGAAAAAGAACGCATTTAATTTCTCATAATTCAAACTTAAACTTCTAACTATTTTACATAAAAAATATTGTTGTTATTTTTTTTTTCATAAAAAATATTCAACTTATAAATTACACTGAATATTCAATTAATTTTATTATGACTTTAGCTGAACTGATTTTGTGAGAGCATTCTATTTTATTGTATATTTTTGTTTGAAAAAGACATTAATTTTAATATACAGGGTTGCCCACCACTCACTGACAACTTAAATAACTTTTGATCCAGTTAATATTTTTAGTTGATTTTTTTTTTAAATAATAGTTATACGTTAGGTCTATAGCTATATCTCAATAATTAATTTTTTTACATTTTATTAAAAATATTAATTATTTTTAAATTTTAAATAAAATGTAAAAAAAAAATCTAAGATAGCTATTTTGTAGAGTAGAATTTAAGAAAAATTTTAGTAAAAAAATATCTTATTAATATTGAGTAGTAAATATTCTGTAGCGTTTTGAAGTTTGTGAAAATTTGAATTTTCATGTATTATTTTACGGTATTAAACATTGAAATACGTATTGAGAAAAGGACAGAAGAAAACGCTATCTTTTCATGATTACTATAATTTGGAGGTGTGTAACTTTTTCCATGAAAATGACTTATACTTTTGAATGAGAGTATTGAGTAATAATTGCCTTATCTAATTTCTTATCATGGTATTAATGCCAAGTTTGTAATGTATACACATTATCATCTTATGCATACACAGTAATCATGAAAAGATGTTTAATACAAGTTTAATACCGTAGAATAGTACATGAAAATTCAAATTTTTACAAACTTCAAAACGCTACAGAATATTTACTACTGAATATTAATAAGATATTTTTTTACTAAAATTTTTCTTAAATTCTACTCTACAAAATAGCTATCTTAGATTTTTTTTTTACATTTTATTTAAAATTTAAAAATAATTAATATTTTTAATAAAATGTAAAAAAATTAATTATTGAGATATAGCTATAGACCTAACGTATAACTATTATTTAAAAAAAAAATCAACTAAAAATATTAACTGGATCAAAAGTTATTTAAGTTGTCAGTGAGTGGTGGGCCACCCTGTAGTGTGATTGATTTATTGTCAACCACTAAATTTCTCCTAAAATTAAAATTTAGAGAATTATTTTCTTGGTTTTGTTTAATAATTAAAAAAATTAATTTGCAATCCTCATTAGGGATAATACATGAACCTAAAATATTTTTTCAGTTTACAATTATAAATCTATATTGGTCAATTTCATTAATTTATCGAGAAATTCCACAATTTTCATAAACTTTTGCATACATTAAAACAATAGATATTTTTATAAAATGCTGGTGTCACTATTAATTAAAATGCGTAACTTATATTACTCGACTAACTCGGACAACTAGTATGTTTACCACCTCTTTCAAACCGGTACACGCCGTTATTATAATGCTGGCGATTAGTGTGTTTGCATTGTCTATTGTGATGTACAATAAATATTTCAGAAATAATATGGATACTTAAATAAACAGTAGCATATATAATATAAACAATAAAAAACAAAAACTCTATAACATACATATATATTTTGTATTTCAAATTTATATGGAATATAAATTAATAACTAATATAATTATAAGTAGATCCAAAATTTCGTTCATTTAATTATTTATTTTTTGGATTAAATATTTTTAATAAATAAATATTTAAAATAAATTGCTTTGAATTTTAATTACAATATATTTCTTAAAACATATAATCATATAATAGAAAATATAAATTAAAGTTTACTGATTTTACAATATTTACTATATTGAATCAGTTACCAAAAAACTAAAAAAATCAGTAGCTGGGTAAAACTTAGTTGTAAATATTCAACATGGCATGTGTTTTTATAACATCAGTATTCAACTATTATATCAAAGAATTTCGTGCTGTTTTAACATTTTCCAAGCAGTTACATAACTTTCGTTTTAAAAGTTTGTAAAACGACAGAATTCACGCTGTGTCATGTATAAGTTAAAATATTTCTACTAAAATAATATACACATATTAATTTTGAAATTTAGTGACAACTTTTGCAATTATTAATTGTTTTTATGGGCATTCAATACAATTTTCAATATTTTATTATAAAAAGCTCTAAAATAAAAATCATGAAAATTAAAATTGGTCGAATACTTACTAATAATTTATAGTAATATGAAATAAAGCATTATGTATTAATAAATTAAAGAGTTAATAATTATAACAATATTGAGAAAAATTAATGTAAGAACTTTAATTTTATAGTACCAATAATAAATACTTAAAAAAATATTAAATATTTAACAAAATTTTGAACACTTTAATTAGTTTTACAAGAATGTAATAGTTTTGCCTACACAACGCGCCGCTCTAAAATATCACAGAAATAAATTTTGGTTGTATGCATAAAATAAACAATTTTTTTTATTGATTTTTGAACTTATAATAAAATATTCCTTTTGCTAACTCTATTTAAAGTATAAGTCAACCCAAAAATAGAAATGTTCAATATAAATGTGTCTTAGTTGAGTTGTTAGTTTAATAACTTAAATAACGATTTGATTATGAACATAATGCTTAAAAGGATTATAGCACAAGGAAAAAAGTTATTACACTTCATTTAACTATAACAAACTTGCTTCAGTTGTATACAAATAATAGGGTTTATACATACATCAAGTACCCTACTCAAAACTTAACTGTTTTTTATACAAAGATATTATTTATTAGGTAAAGGTTACTATCCTGAACTTCAAACTGTAACTACCAAACTTTGATATCTCTCACGAAAATTCACGTAAAAAAACATGTATGAATCAAAAGCGATACAGTTCAAAGTTTTAAATGATTTTTGTTAAAAATAAATTTATCCTATTTTATTAATAAGTGTCTAATACGGGTTTTATATTAGCATACATTTACAACGAAAACGGTGTTGAACTTGTAAGTAGTAAACTTTATTAACCGTATATTTCAACATCGTCAGCGACTTCTTTGATTGTGATTCGGCGACAATCGTTCATAACCATTTCTTTCATTTTTTTCGCGTTTTCATAGGTTGTTGAAGTGCTGGGGCGTTCGCCATCTTTTTGGGGTAATTCCAAGATTACCGAATTCGACGACTTCACGGCCATCTTGGAAATGATTATACCACTCGTAAACCCTTGTTTTACTCATGGCAGACTCACCATAGGCTTTTCTTAATATATTACACACTTTGTTACAAATCCTTTGATAAATTTTTTTCAACAATAGCCGAGCCAATAAAAACACGTCTAATCTTAGCGGCAGCCACTAACAAAGTAAAAAATAAATCCAGCTGAAAATTTTATGATACTTTAAAGACATGTGTACCTAGTCATATAAGACATATGAAAAAAAAAGTTAATAATCAGACGCTTCAAACCTGCGAAATTTAAAAATTCTTGTTATTTTCTAAACACATTTCGTATAATATATATATTAAATATATTATTTTTTTAAATATTATATCTAATTGTTTGTTTTTGAAATCGAAATAAAAAAAAGGAATCATGTATATATAGGTAAATGAGGTACTAGAAAATTTATTAATGAAAACGATTTTACAGCTAACTATTTTTAAATACAATTTGCAATGAAACATTCTGTTTTATCAGAATAAAATTAATTATAAGGAAATTCTATTTTTAGCCAAAGAATGTACCGTAGAAATGAATCAAACTTATAATATTTATTGTTTTTATACAAAAATGATCAATTTGGAATATTAATATTTGTTAATATTGTCATGATTTATTAACCATTTATGAAAATTACCATAACACATAATAAAATAACACATGTTATTATTTTCAGGACTATGAAGTAGACTTGTACTTACGTCAAAAATGGCAAGACGCCAGGTTAAAACATCCCGACATTACAGAGTCATTAGACCTTAATGATCCAAATTTGGTGAAAGCTATCTGGAAACCTGAAGTGTACTTCCCGAATGCAAAACATGCGGAATTTCAGTTTGTCACTGTGCCTAATGTTCTTATTCGTATAAAACCCGATGGTGATATTCTCTATATGCTTAGGTAACATCACAAAATAAACATAACAATCATATACATTTATGAACTCTTATTAAAACAAACAAGTATTGACATTTTGTAGTACTTAAAGGCCTATAGCATTATAGAATTATTCTCAAAACTAATTTGCATACAATTCATTAGTGTGGACAGCAAAACCCATAACTATGTGAGAACTGTGGGCGTGTAGGGAATTGAGTCCTCATGAAGTCGTGCCAAAAGTGATATAGGTGGAGCCATAGGGAATGACATACAAATATTTGCCAAAACTCTCTTATTTTAAAGAATGACCCAGAACTACAGATAAAGCCCAAACATATAATTTAAGTCTGGCTTTTACGCATTTTTGTTTGAGTCATTTTAAGAAGACTCAAATTTGTGTAAATTAGTCGTTAGTATACACATTAGCGTATAAATATTTTTCATGTTATTGGGGAATAAACTACCCGACCCCCCTCAACACCGTAAGCCAAGTTAAAACACATTAATAAGTTCACAAATTTGTACTAATTGGAAATGTTGTTGGTATGACTTAATAAAATTTATAAATGAATATCTGAACTTTAGATATAATTAATCATTCAATAATAATAAATTTGTTTTAATTGAAAAAAACATCAAAAATATGTTATACTATATTTTACCATGTACATAGTGATTCATTTAACATTAGGCCAGTTGATTTCTCCTAAAACAATAAAAATATTGACGACTTTTTTCTCTGATTTATATTACTTTTACATATAAATATATATGTTTGTGTGTATTTCTCGATTAATTAACCATTAGGTATTTTTTAGGTCCCTTATTACTTAAAAATTATCAAATTTAATTTTTTTAGAGAGCAACATACATATTTAACTAGCTAATATTATGAGAAATAATTTAACTAAGAAAACAACTTTTGGTTGAATATCTCAGAAATTATTAACATTTTTATACTTAGGCAATGGAAAAATATCAAACAATAAAAATTATATCTGTGTTACAATTCCAATTTATGTTTTACAATTTTAATAATTTCAGAAATAATGGTTTGAGAGATTCTATCGAAATTTTTCTTGATTAGATTGTATTTTTTTATATAAGTTAATTAATGTTACTACTTGAAAAAATAAAATTCGCACATTTATAATGAAAGATAGAATTAAAAACTAATTAATGATTGATAAATCGAGAAGTATATAAAACTAATAAAATGTGTAAATGTAACATATAATATGTGTTTTCTCATTGTGTACTATTAAATTTCTATACAAAAATATTTACAATATATACTTTAAAGTAATTTAAAATATTATCTGATTCAATTTTCTTTTACGAGTATTCAATGTTGAGAATATATTGGTTTTGTGATAGTGTTCTATTATGCCTATGTACAAAAATTCCTAGCGCTCATTGAAACGATTTTGATGATCTATTGTCAAATGAACCCGATTTAATCTAGTTCAACTTATCGTCAAAATTTAAAAAGACCCCCTCAATTTTAGAAAAATATCTTAAATTTACGTTATTGTAAAAAAAATTAATTTAAAAACTTTTATCTGCTCTTTAAAAATACTTTGGTAGTTTTGAACCATTTTTGATACGTCTGACAACTTTTAACGTATATCAAATTAATTTACTTAAATGTTACTATAATATTAAAAAAAATGTATCCAACGTATGTTCTACTATGAGAAATTAAACGTAGAATTTTCGTGAGTTCTTTAAGACTACAAAAAGAAAAATATTTTCTTTTTTCTATGAATTATTTAACTTCAAAATTCATTAATTCAATAAAAAGTTAAACAGATTCGTATCGAAGCGTTTTTATGATAGTGATTAACATATCAGATATTATCTATATTTGTCCTAACTTTTAATTAATTTTTAATACAAATCTTTAAATATAATCAACTATTCAACTAATGTGTGCATTATGGATCTAAGATATATCTTATCTTTAACTAACTAATGGCGAGCAAAAAAGTAAAAGTACTTACTTTATAGAATTTTAGTAACACAAGCACATATTTTAATTAAAGAGTAACTGTAATTCAATTTCAAAGTTTTGAAAGTTTTTGTAATTGTTAAGTTCTCTTTTAAAAATATATAACATAAATTAATTTCTATTAAACTTGTGTTTTGTTTTCTAAAATGAAAAAAATTAGCTTTAATGTAAAAAATTAAATGTAATTATAATAATAACAGAGTACATTATTAGCTTCTTATATTAAGTTTTATCTTTGATCTCTGCTATCTTACATACAAATTATAATAGTTTAAATATAAATTCTTATTTTATATGATCTATATAAAAAAAATTAATTAACATCTATTGTGAAATATTACTTAAAATTAATATTATATTAAAAATCTTTAACTCAAAAAGGTGGAAAATATACTAAAAAAAAAATAGCGGATACGTATTTTGGAAACAATGTTACCACTACGAACGCTAAACACATACTGACATCAAGACCGAAAAAAAACTCTTATATACCCCTCTACTGGTCTTATCACCTAGTGACGTTATCACTAAGTAATATTTTCACATTTTCCAGTTAACACAAATTTAATAATGAATTTTTCAGTGAACCAAGATCTCAATTAATTAAATTGTTCTTATTTTTAAACATTTTTACTACCTCTCTTATAATAAATTTTTTATAATTATTTACATTTTTAATTAGTTTTATAGTTTTAATGGAGTGATTATGTGTCAATAAATGTTCTGCTATCGGGAATTTATCAACTTCTTGTTTCTAAAGTGTTTTTTAAATCTGATCTCTATATTTCTTTATGTTTGCTTTACGTAACATTTATTACAACTTTGACATTAGATTTTATAAATGCCTATTTATAAACTACTTTATATTTAGGAATACCTAATAAATCTTTTAAATGATTACTTTTAGAGTTTACTCAAGTAATACCAAAATTTTTAAAAATTCTAGATAGTCTATTTGAGAAGCTTGCATAAAATAAAATGGGTGATCTAGTACTTTTTTTCTCCCACGCTAGTGGAGTATACTAACTGCCCTCCTTTCTTTATTATACTTTTGTGTTTGGACAAATTTTGAATTTACATTTTTGTTATACTCATGAAATTTAGGGGTATATAAGGGGTTTATTTCCAGTCGGTATGTCAGCATGTATTTAGCGTTGATAGTGGCAACATTATTCCAGAAATACGTATCTACGATTTATTGTGGCTTTTGAGTTAAATATTTTTAATATTTTTTTTGTTTTAAATTAATATTTTTAATATAGTTTTGATTTTAAATAATAATAACAACTAGTGATTAATTTTCATTACATAATTATGGCGTTCGGGCCATTTGATCATAATAAAAAGTTAAACAAACTGATACTGATCAAGACAAATATACGCCTGATTAGAGCTGATATATTTTTTCTCAAAAATGTATTAGGTCCATATGACTCCAAATTTTGCCAGATACCAAGTAAGTCAAACAATAATAATATTAATTTTTCCATGTCAATAAATTTCGCTTAGGAGAAGTTGTTAGCGCGAGTCACACTATAATATTGTATTTTATCTTTGTTTAGCTGGTCAGCAATGTATCTTTTATTGTAAATCTAGTCAGTGTACGTTCCACCGCTGAACCATCAGCGACGCTCTCTAATATTAATCTAAGTCATACTTGTATTTAAATATTGTGATTTAAGTTAATTATAAATAAAATTACGGAGCAAATATTTTGTAAATTATATTTATAGTTTGTTAAGTTTCATATTTATTACATTAATCAAACAAATTAAAAAATATCATAAAAATAAATTTAACTGAGCGTTCGATTTATTAACGATTAATAATCCCGCTTCACCAACATTTCTGGTCCTTCGATCCGCAATTATATGAATAATTAAAAAATAAATAAATTTTCGAGTACAAAAAGTGCGTATGTGCGTAAAGTTCGGGTAGTGTGTTTTAGTTATTTAAATATAGTTAATTATACTTGTTTACACTAAGCTAAAAATAATATTGGGTTTTCTTTGCCCATAAGCATACAATGGCCGAGCAGCCAGCTGTGGAGAATGCAGTATTATATGGTAGGCGAGGTACAATCAAAGGTCAACTGACAAGGTTTGTTACTTTCGTGTCTGCAGCAGCACAGAAAGGTGGGGATAGGACTTCACTCAAAGTCCGCCGACAAAAAATTGAAGAAGTATGGAATGAATTTCAAAAGATTCAGGCTGAAATTGAAGAACTCAGAGATCCAGAAAGCCCAGAAGATCCATACAGAATTCAGTTTGAAGAAATGTACTTTGAGGCAGTATCAGAGTATGAACGAATATTGGCTAGTGATCAAGCAGAAATAGAAGAAATAAATCACACGGTAGATATTCGAAACACATCACAACCACCCATAATGACGTCAACACTAACAAACAGTTGTGTATCTAATCAACCATCAATTGTAAAATTAGCGCCATTAAGTGTACCTACATTTAGCGGCAGCTATAAAGAATGGTCAACATTCAATGATATATTTAATGCGTTAATTCACGAGAACGAAGCATTAACTGATGTAAACAAAAATTTGTGCTAACAAAACAAATATACATATTATTATATATAATTAGTAAAAAGCTACTATATTAATAATCAAAAAAAAAAATATATATATATATATGAATGAACGTATATACTATTAAGTGAGATACTCATTAAAATTAGTTATACATTACACTATGACTTTACTTCAAAAAGTGATTTTGAGTTTAATGTTTAAATACTTAAGGATATTGCATTATTAATAAAATACTCTGTTATGTAGATATATTGCGAAATCCCTAATATTCACTTCATTAGCCTACTACTAGAGCACCATAATTAATTTATCATTATCTAAAAAAAATATGATTAGCACTCAAGTGATTTATGGATATCCGAGAACTGAAGTTACAAATTTCTTAGACATCAAATGTAATACAACATTTTGTTGGATTCATTAAGTCAAATACCATAAAAAACACACGTAGATGAAAAAAAAATTGACAAAAAAATTTTTTTTTCAAGTTAATTAATATTAGTTAAATTTTATAATAATTGCTACATATATAACAAAGTACAAAAAACTGAAAATATTTCATTTTCATGGTATAATTTTTTTAAACTTGAATTATTTTATTTAAATAGGAGATAAGAAAAATTCGTATGTATTATGTATGTATGTAGTTATCAAAATTATAAACAGAACTTCATTGTAACTAGTATTAAAAATCTGTAAATCATGATTCATGAGTGTTACTTTTATAAATTAAAAATAATTTTATTTTTAAAACTATTCATTAAAAAAAAATATTTGATTTATAAATAAAATTAGAAACAAGCTTCACGAGCATTTGATTATTTAAAATTATTTTTTAATATTCAAATGTTGTATTATAAACAGAATTCTTCTATACATAATTTATAATCAAATAAAAGTAGTATTCAAATTTTATATTAGAATTTTGGGCTACTAAACAATTGTTCCACTTTTGAATTGAAATGCTCTATTAAGAGATTAACTCAGTTTATTTTACTACTAATTAATTATATACCTATATAGGTGTTCAATAAATAATGAAAAGGGGTTCTGTTATTCTCATTGTTTTTTAACAATTAGCCTGTTTCCTTACTTAATGAACACTCTGTATACATTATTACGTTCATGTCAATCGGTAACGTCGTATACAGGGTGTTCAGTAAGTCAGGAAACGGGTTTCTATTGTTCTCATTGTTTGTATATATATATATTCATAATAAATAATTAAAAATGTCGAAATCCAGAATAAAACCTTTAAATTTTACAATTAATGTGATTTTTTTTCAAATTTTGTTGAATTTTCAACATTAAAACTAAAGATAATAATGAGTAGCATTTGGTTTTAAAAACACTATTTCAAATTCTTCGTTAATATGAACTTTTAAATTAAAAAAGAACCTCAGGTGTAAATATAAAATGTAAAATCCAAAAGACCGAGGAACTCATTAATTTTAAAAGTTAAAAAATGATGTAGTAGCGAATAAAATAATGTTAAAATATAACGAACAATAGATTTTTCAAAGCTTTAAACATAGACAGTTGTATGAATGATACGCCTAAAATATAAGGGAAGTGGACGTATGAATGTATAGAATGAATTTAAAACATATAAATAATTAGCTGTATTAAAAAACATAAATAAAAAATATTTATATATATTAATGTGGGTAGAGGGCGCATATTACTAATGCTACAATGGCGTCAAGGTAAACAAATAGCAAGATAAAAAAATAAGTACAATAAATACTTATATGCAATGATGACGATGGCAAGTTGATGTCACTGAAAGGTGAATGATGAAGTCATTGATAGGACGTACTGTCACGAACTGTACTTCAAAATGTCAAAATACTTAATGAACACGAAAGCGGTTTATTAATTTACTGGATCATAAGCGTACACAAAAGAGATAGCTACAATCTTTTGTTTAATAATCTTGTGATATTAATCTGGTGATAACTCCGCCTATACAATAACAATTTTAGCTTCGATGCCAAGCTGAGAAGGTATTAATTTTACTATGATGTGTTTTTTTTTTGTGTGTCTATTACCACTTTTTCTCAGCTCTCACCGAACCGATTTCTTTCAATGATACGTCAAAAGATCACAAATCGTATCTAGTCGAAGACGTTACCCTCAAAATTTGAAAAAATTTCCCTCGTTACCCGTAAATGGGGAAAACCTCCAAAAAAATTACAAATTTAAAAATCTCTTATTTTCGAAATTTTCGAAATTTTTTTTACTAAAAGCTGCTATAACTTTTTCAAAAATGAACATATCAATTTAACTTTTTTTTTTTATATAGATATTGATGTCTTTACCTATCATTTGGTATATTTTTTTTATAAATTTAACCCTTTACCAGCCCACAAAAGGGGTTTCCAAATGACAACTTTTTCACAAAAAATTAACTTTTTCAACTTAACTTTTGAAAGTGTTCCGAGAAGTCTGACACTTTTATATACTTGTATATCTTAAATTAAAGCTAATGTAATATACTTTCTTATAAAAAAAAAAATTTACCTCTGGACTTATCTTCATGGTGAAAATGGCTACTGAATGCTATTTTTGTGTGAAAATTCACGATTTTATATTTTACATTTTTTACTTTAAAATACTATAACTTTTTAAAAAATGTATGGATCAATACTAAATAAAGTGTTAATTCTTTGTCTGATAAAAACCATCTACAGATTTGCATCAAAGCGTTCTTATAATGGTGATGTTTATTAATGTCAGATATCATCTATACTTATCCCAACAATCACTCGTCCATTCATACATATTAATCAAACTATAATATTGTTAATTTTTTTATTGATTTTTCAATGATTTTATCAATGAATCTATTCTAAAAAAAAATTGTATTCATCCAATAAAATATAAAGTATTGTCTGGATGTGAAGAGTGATGCTGCTTTATAATTTTTCCGACCGTACTCTTTCTCTCCTATATCGTATCAACATGTCAATAACTTCCGAAATATCGGTTCAAAAGTTGTTATCGACCAGTCATTTTCTTAATTAGACCTTTATCTAATAAATAAGCTCGTTAATTTAGTATGTTGCCGTTTAAAAAATTTAAGTTGACACCATTATAAGGTATATGGTTGAATATAAACATTTTTTTATGATTGATACATTGAGAAAAACATGAAACTAAAAGAAACCATTAAAAAGATTATTTTTATTTTTCGTTTAATTAAGTGGTTCGCGAAAAATCAATCAATTTGTATATTTTTCTATGATCAATAAAAACTATTTCATTTTAGTGATATGATTTTGCTGTGTAATTCATTATAGCAACTAATTTTATACTTTATTTGTGGAAATATTAAATTTAAAAAAGTCAGTAAGAGCTGAAAAAAGTATTGGCAGGCACAAAAAAAAATTAAATAAATAAACACATCCTGGTAAAATTAATATCTTCTCAACTTCGCATCGAAGCTCAAAAATATACAAATATAATTGTGAATAACGTATATAAATATGATAGTTTTAAAACTCTTTCGGTGATTGCATTAACGCTGTTTTCTATAAATAGATATTAGTAGTATAATTGAAAATTTTCGTTTTTATTAGATAGAACATTTTAACCAATTACACTTTTTTATTACCGTTAAAATTTTAATATTGATCCTATAATACACCTTATCGAACATTTGTAACAAGTACAAAAATAGGGTTTATTCATTTGTTAATAATGTATTAGACTGTAATTTTAAGTATTTTAAAAAATATATTTATTCAAAGATTTGGGAAAAATTTATTTATAATTACATCTTTTACTAGATTGAAACTTACATTTTCATGCATGATGGACCTTTCCAAATTTCCACTTGACAACCAAATATGCACAATGGAGGTAGCTAGTTGTAAGTGTTAGATAACTTTATATCAATAGTCCCAAAATCTTTTTATCGATTGCCTGAATATTTTCCTAATTTTTCTCTTTTTTAGTTTCAAAGACTGTTGAAGAGCTACGACTCGAATGGAAAACCACTAATCCTGTAATAATGGCTAAAGGATTAAGAATGCCTCAATTCGAAATTGTGGACATTGTACCTTCTGATTGTCAAGAATCATTTCAAATTGGTATTAAGTGTTACTTATCTAGATAATGTTTCTTTAAAATTGAAGATTTTTTCTGTGTTTTATACTGTGTTAGGTTTAACTATACATTAGTAATTTCTTATAAAAAACTCGACATATGAATTTCTTTTTTATTTATATTATTAGTATGTTAATATTTATACTTCAAACTTTTTATCACAATTAAATTAAAGTTTGGTATAATTGTTTTACTTAATGTCGTAACATAGCAAATTATTTTACTAATTTACAGGAAATTATAGCTGTCTAGTTGCTCAATTTTATTTAAGCCGAAGTGTTGGATTTCATTTAGTTCAGAGTTATTTGCCGACTATGTTGATAGTGGTGATATCTTGGGTATCCTTTTGGATGGACGTAGATTCGGTACCAGGACGCACTACTTTAGGTGTGACTACACTATTAGCTGTGGGATCCCAATCTTCAGGTGATTACACATTTTTGTTAAATTTTGTTTTAAACATTTTAATTTTTAGAAAAACTAAAACAACCTATTTAAATACGTAGAGGAATTTTTATACTTTATTTAATTTATAGATAAATGTAACAATATAGTTCTATTATTTATTAGGTATTCAAAGCGGTCTACCCCAAGTGAGTTACGTAAAAGCTATTGATGTTTGGATGGGCACATGTACAGGTATGTTACAATATTGTATCACAGTCTTTGGTAATGATCAATTTTATAGTAACCGATCACAATATTCTTGTATAGCGTTCGTCTTTTGTGCATTACTCGAATTTACCGTAGTAAATTACATGTGGCGTAAACTAAAACCAGACATTTTAAAGACATTTTTAACTGAGCCTTTAAATGGAGGAACTAGTTCAAAAACATACGAAGAAAATTTGCAACCATCTCCAACCATACCAGTCAGTGTGGTAATTAAACATAACATTTTAGATATCAATTTTTAATGATAATAGTTTAGCTAAGCACACGTTTGCTTGTGTTTAATAGGTAAAAAGAATGTTGCATGAAGAATATACTTACATCCCAACTGCTGAAACCAATGCTGCATTAGCAAGAACAATAGACGAATATTCCAGGTTTTTGTTTCCCGTCGCTTTCATTGCTTTCAACGCACTATATTGGCCCTATTATTTGAAAAACTAATTTAATATTAACAATTCCGATATGAAAAGACCAACTTTACTTTATTAATAATTATTATTTATATAGTTAAGGCAAATCTAAATGTAAAGATTGACAAATTAATAATCTTATGTAATAATCCGTAATTAGGTTTAACTTAATTTAGTTGTCACAGCGAAGTGACAGAATAAAAAGATTCTTTCAGGCTGTCTTTGAAAACATCGAAAAATAACCATATTAAAATATGTATTTAAGTGCATCTAATAATTTAACAAGATATTTTGTTCTCATTCTGATAACATTTATATTCAAAAAATTTTAACAAAAAAAATTTTTTTGTTCATAAAATCTGATATTGTCTTAACGGATGAATACTTACTTACATACTAGTTATAGTGAAACTTATAAGTCCCTTTAAACATTGGACTTCAGGGTCAGCATTACTCAAAACATTATACAGATGAAGATTTTTAATCTAAAGTATAATTTTTATTAAAGATATCCGGCCATTAATTGACGCGTAATTTTTGTAAATGTTTTTTAAAAGAAAATTTTTATAACATTTTACTAAATTAATTTAAGTAATTAGCTTCCCAATGTTAATATGTTATAAGTTGAGCGTATTTCAATAAACTAGTTGAAAGAGAATAAAAATAAATTAATTTTCTAATTCAGAATTCTGTCTCAATTCAATTATCTTTCATACTATTAGAATATTATATATGACTTTTTGTAGCCACTTTCTCATATGGTTATAGCACTCTTCGTTTTTTATGTTTTGATCCAATTATTTTAAAATAAAGTAGTAATTGTTTGATTTTTAAGATAAAACGTAAAACAAAAAACATCAATTATAAAAACTAAAACATTGAAATGCAAATAAATAAATTTACTAGTATAAATTATTGTTTGATAAAAATTCTTGAAAAAATTTCATCAGGGTAATAAGAAAGTTGTAGGATCGATGATTCTTAATAGGAAACGTTTTTTCTAGGACAAAAACGAAATGTTCTTATTTAGTTAAACAAAGTTAAATAAAATAATTTATAAAAAAACTAATTAAGAACTTTAACATACGAGAAATACGATAAAAGTTGAAAGACTCGATCAAAACAATTTTCGTAATAAAAATATATACATAGCAGAACAGATGTAATTGACAACTGTTTTAACTTTAAATTCAATTTAAATTTCCGTGTAATTTTTCTTTTCACCAATTTTTTCCTCTTAGACTACGTGAAAAGCATATTTTTTATTATTTATTGCCAATAAAATAATAATAATAAATACATTTTCTATATTTTATTCAGAATTCAAAAATAGCTATTTTTAAACACTTTTCTTACAAACAATTTTGATGGGTCCAAAACAATTTTAGGATAAATAATCATTATAATCATTTTAATACGTAATGAGTATGTTGAGTTGGTTGACGCAGCTCGTACTAATGTATATGTTACTAAAGTAATGTGTACTCCACTCATGCTACATACCCTTTTATGTATAAAAATTCTTGGAACTCAATAAGTAGTTATCCTAAGGTTGTTATCAATCCAGTTTTTGTGGCTTCAATTTAAAAACTAATGTTTCACAATAATGCGATTTTCGACTTATTGATAAATGTATAAAAAAAAGTGTTAATACTCATCTATAAATATATACTTAATTGGTATGTTTTTTATACATCAAAAATTTAAATTTCGATAAAATTACATTGAAATTTTATAGTTGTTTTTGTTCTCCTAAAAAGTTATTAAACCAAGTTTCTTCGCTTTAATTTGAACAATTTTTTTTTAATTTTAAATAATTTTTAAGTAATGAAATATAAACAAAAGATCATCAAAATGATCAACAGTAATATAATATATGTGTTCATAAACTTGTACATACCTTTTAATGTTTAACTCTAATGATATTTTTATGTAAAACATAAATAATTGAGTTGTACATATTATTATTACACTTTCATTTGATGATCTAGTGATAAGATTCAAATGTCACACAACTAGAATACAACGAGCTCAACATAAAAAATCCTTCTTCGATAAGTTTTGATTTCTCATATAAATTTCATTAAGTGTTAACTATTCTTAGCATTTTGAACGAGTATTTTTTTTTTTGAAATTTCACCATGAGATTTAGAATAATTAACCTATTCAGTGATGCTAAAATTAAAAAAATCAGAAATATTGAAATGTTGCTTCCATATAATACTACTAATATATGTATAAAAAAATTTTGTCTCGCGATAAATGACTCTGGGAAATTGCCGTGACTGTCCCTGTAGTTTTTGCGACAATGGATATATTTTTTATTGAGCATTAACACGTATTCAAAATTATCAACAATTGAACAGTTAATACCTTCACTTATATAATCATTTTTAAAAACCTGACACTGTAAATTGTTTTATGTATTTACAATAGGTTACAGTAAAGTATTTAGAAAGGGGTGTCACAAGGGACCACTTCGTATAATTTTTAACACATCTTCTTGACTAAAATGATTGCACTACAAGATGTAAAGTAATGAACCCCCACCGCTCAACGTATTAAAAATTATCTGAAACTTAACTTTATCAAATACTAATGCACAATACTTCTATCGTTGATTTATTTCATAATTCACATAGAAGAACTTTACAAATTAACTTTTTTACAATTTTAAATTCTTATACCATTATATCATAACATTGATGCAACATCGGTTAAAATAAACTAATGGAAGTAAAATCAAAATAAATCCTATTTTTTTAGTGGATAATATAAAAGCATATACATGGTTTTCTACGCTATTTTGACCAAACTAATAACTTTTATCTATTAAATATTTTGCATTACTTCTTCTTTTTTACTATTACTATATGACTGTAACAATATCATTAGAAATAATATTTTTTTTAATTAATTGAGTCAAATATTTATTATTATTATTATTTACGAAAAATTTAAAAAAAACTGTCAAGATTTAATATCATATAATAAAAACATGAAAATATTCAAATTCATAAAAATTTTTTAATTCTATGTAATTTTAATTGCAAAACATTGAAAAATGATTTTGCTGCCAATTTTTTTCTTAAAATCTACTATAAAAATGGTTATTTAAGTAAAATTGAATCATAAGTAGTCCTTAAATAGGACCTCAAGTCCTAAAGTATAATTGTAATTTTAAATAAGTAAGACAAAATATTTAGTAGATCAAAAACTATTAGATTTTTCAAAACATCCTTTCTTAATAGGTGTACTTTTTATAAAACTTTTGTTATTTGATAAGACGATAAATCACTCGGACTATATAATACATTATCGTACAACATCTAATTATAATGAAAAAAGTCATGACCAACAAGACCCTCTAGATACGCCTTTCTATGATATTTTATTTTCATCAACCGCCCCTTCAAATATATTGAAATAAAATATTAAATTTGAATAACAATACTTAAATAACTTAGTTCATGTTAATCTAACATAACTTACTTTATGTACTTAATTCAAACAGCTAGAATTAATTCTAATTTTAATTATATATTAAGTAACTACATCAATTATAAAATATTTTATTTTCTTAGAAAATTGAAACAAATTAATTGATATAAGTATTTTACTTAATTTCTGTAATATTAAATATGTATAAAAGACTAGATATAACGGGTACACACATCTCTTATACTTATCAGTGTAAAATATACTTCTAGATATATATAAACTATTGTTATTTATATGCTTTGACATTGATATTGTTTTACTAAATTAACTTTAATTTATTATAATAATTTCAAGGAATAATTAAAAGATTTGTAATATCGGCAATAGCATATTCATTTTTTTATTTTTTGATATACTTATTAGAACATGATGTTACATATCGCCATTCGCAACAAATAAGGCAGTAATTAAAAAATTCAACTTTAAGGTTATGAGATATTTGGATTTATGTTTTACTCTTCTTATGATAACTTTCATACAAATATTAAAAATTTAATTTGAATCTGATCTAAACTACTTAGAAAATTGATAAACATATATAGTGTAATCAGAAAATAAATTTTATTTTTGATCTCCTGAAAAATAAAAAAAGTGAAGTACTGCCTTATTCGTTGCGCATATCGATAATTCAAAAATTTAATGAATTATTATTAGTACCAAAATTTAAATTACTTGTAACGTAATCTCCTCCACTAAAAATTTTTAAATTAAGGATAAATTTTATTTACTAAACATATTTTTTGGTATACGTTTTTACTAAATCCCATAATACTAATAATTAATTGAGTTTATTAATGTTTAATTGTAATTTTTAAAGACACCTATGTTTTATGTATTATTGACAACCTCTAAGAATGTATGACTCGTTACAACATTGAATGTATAAAAGGGTATTAAATATATACAGAAAAAATATTATCTTAATTGTAAATAAGTATTTTGTGTGATTGTTTTATTGAAAATATTCTTTATGTATAGTTTATGTTAATATGTTATAATTCGTTAGAATGTTGATACTTATCTGTTTCTTCATGGTCTTCATAACTAAATCTTTTTTATTTTGTACGTATTATAATACATAATAAATATATTTATAGTAGTTATGAATGAAACAAGTGTGGCAAATTTTACCAATGTTTAATGTTAAAATTTATATATTTTATTAACTATATGTGAATTTATATCTTTAAAAATATCTGTCTTGTACTAATAAATAAAATAAATTCATAGTTTTATTTAGTCCATAAAAATCAATACCATTTTTAAATTGAAAGGAGTTTTTTATATAAAAGATTTTTTGTATGAAAGTTAGAAATTCATTGATTTTTAATACATTATAGTTTTATCAACAATAATAATTAACAATTTCAAAAAGAGTGATAGTAACAACTGTGTTTAAAAAATATTTTAATTAGATTAGTTCTTTATGCATGTATGTAACTAACAAAAAGGATCGTAACTAAATATCATAAATTTTTCTAGTGAAACTTTATCACATATTCTGATAAACACAATTTTTTTTTATTAATTAGATCATAAAATAAAAGAGACATTTACACAGAGAATATATGTCGTGTAAAACTTTAAATAGCTCTCCTGAATAATTGTAAAAATGTATGTGACAATTATTTCCGTTGGAAATTATAAAATTATTCCAAAATTCCCATACGCTAGTATGATATTTTTAATATACGCGTTTATTTTATCCACAAGTAGTGCAATATTATCATAAAGTATCTAATATTCGTACACATATATAACATTTTAATCCAAATTTTTCCTGTATAATTTTGTATATTTTTTTTTTTTGTAAATCTAACCATTTACCTGCCCACAAGGGGGATTCAATATACAAATTTGTTTACCAAAAAGTCAACTTAACTTTTATAATAAACACTACGTAACTGTGACAGCAATGTCATAAAAAACTGAAAAGTGAAAAATAAATTTAGTTTAAAAAACTAAAAAATACGTTGAATAAAAATATTTGATAGTTTAAAACGCTCACCACTACTTTGAATGGCTTTATTTTTTCTAAATGAAGATATCGTTTAGCACAGAAAGCCTTTAGCAAAGATCTAGTAGACAAGTTGTTAAAAACATCGTTGATTATATTATATCGTGTGACATCTGATCTCCAACGTGTTGCTTTACTCATCCCTTTGCCCACCCAGCACGGCAAATCAATGACCTCTGTGTCAATTGTCATCCGTGTACAGTTCATTGTCGTAGGTCAGTCAGTCAATTATTTTATTATGTGTTATTCTTTTCTGTAGCAAGCGCCTTCGCTTGAATTGGATATTGTTCGGCCATTGTACACCGTTATTTTTTCATTTATTTATTACACCCTCGCGCTCAAAGTTTTCGTGCCCTTGCACGCCACTAGTGATTGGCCCTTTAAAAAACTAAACATCTTCATTACCGTTGTCGCTTTTCCGCCGTCTGTTTTCATCTGCCATTACGTGCCTGGATCTACACCCTGTTGTATTTAAATATACGTAACAACCTTTTTGTTCTAACTTATAGTAATAATAGTTCAATAATAACGCTAATGTAATTATTAAAGATTTAATCAAACAAAATAAAAAATACAAAATAATTATGCAAATATTATAAATATTTATTTCCTGGTTTAGTAACAATAATTCAGGGAATTACAATTAAACCAAACATTAAAAAATGTTTTATTTTTAGTTTTACAAAATTATAACCTATATATAACCTTGACTCATCATACTCAGATGTTCGACACCATTACCACAAGACCTCATACAATCCACTCATCACTATCAACAACTTCATCTATTCAGCTGAGTTTCATATTATTTTTTGATGTTATTTATTGTTTGCTTTAATTGAGATTAACTATTTTGTTTTAGGCAGCTTCGTCAGCCATTAGTATTTAAAGGCCACCGTTACCTCTTAAATTTAAGATACTCTCTGAAGAATTTCTAATATTAGTGGATATTTATTTATTGTCTATTCTCGTTACTTATTGGATGTACCGTTAGCCGTCATCCCCCAGGTGACCCACTCATACTTCAATAATAGCGATTTAAACAGGTTTAAGGTAAAACGGCATTATAGTGCGATGCACAACTAGCCGTTCTACGGTCTAGATGTCTCGTACAAAACAATTTCAAATAAAATATTTTATTGTTTAACTCAGGGAAACTTTGTACATCAGTATATTTTTTTAGGAATAAGTTTAAGGTTCTTTCTGATGATTTCTTCGCACAATTATGTAACTAACTGAAATAAAATCACTAAAATCGTTAAAACAAATCTATACATATTTGACTTTATAGTAAATAATATTAGACAAACTCTATAATTTAGCTTCAATATTTGATATATAATTCGTTAAAATCAATAGAAATTAAAAATATTACAAAACGTTTTAATGGTAGGTTAAAATATTCGATTTGGCATTAATCATTGTTCGACAGATTTTTCGATAAAATCCACTTAATAAGTTTTTAGTGTCGTTAATGTTTGAATATTTTTGTCCGGAGTAGCTATCCACAAATTAAGTAAGTACTCGAACGCTGCATTAAAATTTTCTTTTGCTATTTCATCTTCTGCTTTGAGTAAACACATTAACTAATATTGACTTTTTTTAGGACTTGAATCAACCATGAAACACTCGGCCATAGTAACTATCCTAAATAACACTTCTTTCAAAGTCGGTTTTTCATCTATAGCAGTCGCTTCTTTTGCATTCATTGCCATTTTTTCCTTAGCCTTTCTGAAAAACTTTCGTTAAAGAATAAATTTGGTTCTCGTTCATTTTCTTCGTCGTCATACACGCCTGAAGATAAATCATCAAAAGCACAATATGCTTTGAAAAGATCACTTTTCTCCCAAGGAGATGACAATTTAATTGTATTATTCTTTATCGCCACCGGCAATTGTAAAAATTTAACATGACGTCCTTCGACTAAACGACGAATTGACGATCTTCTTTAACTTTCTTCAGGTTTCATTTTGGCAGACAATCGGTTTTGTTACCTGTATGTATACTCGTTTATAAAGTTTATAATAAAAAAACTCTTATATTATTATAAATAATAATAATAAAGATTAAAAAAAATCTTATACAAAAACATAATAAATAATTACATAAAATATTGTTTGTAATAATACTTATTAAAAATATTTTTAAACGTTTTGTTTACTCAAAGCAGAAGATGAAATAGCAAAAGGAAATTTTAATGCAGCGTTTAAGTACTTACTATATTTGTGGATAACAATTGATGATTTAACTTCAAGCGTGGATGACGACGAAGATTCTTTCGATGAAAAAAGTAAACGAGAGCCAAGTTTATTCAACAGCAAAAGTACTTCAGAAAGGCTAAAGGAAAAAATTTTAGATTAAAAATCTAAACAAAATGAATGCACATGGCAAGATTAAAAAATTCATAGAATTAGCATTCTTTCTAATATGCTAAGATCTTTTCAATATTTTATAAGAAAACGAGGAAAAAATTTCAGTCAATTTAGATAAAGTAATTAATTTTTTTTAATTAAATGAGAAGTATAAAATAATATATACTCATTTATAAATTTCATAATATAAACCCCTCGTTTTTGTAAATCTTATATAAAAACTTAATAAATAATTACATAAAATATTTAAAACATAAAACGTTTTATGATTTGCAACATTTGTTATTTAAAAAAATTTTAAGTTAATAAAATGAGACATGTAAATTATAAAAGTCTTAACTTTTAAATAAATGGAATTATATATTAAGTTTTTGTATTAGATTTACAAAAACGAGGGGTTTATATTATAAACTTTATAAATGAGTATATATATATTATTTTATTGTTTCCATTTAATTTAAAAAAATTATTTGCTTTATCTAAGTTAACTGGAATTTTATCCTGGTTTTTGTTATAAAATATTGAACATTTCTTATCATATTAAATAGAAAGCTACTTCTCTGAATTTTTTAATCTTGTCATGTGCATTCATTTTGTTTAGATGACGAAGATCAAACCAATACGTACTTATATATCGATGAAGATGATGACCAATGGTCCGATGATTCAACTGATAGCGAAATGATTGATCAGAGCGATGAGGACTTAGTGTCACTTTACATACAAGTAACAAAACCGATTGCGCGTCAAAATAAAACTCAAAGAGAATTAAAGAGATCGGCAGTTCGTCGTTTAGTCGAAGGACGTTATGTAAAATTATCACAATCGCCGGTGTTGATAAAGAATAATACTGATAAATTGTTCACTTCATGGGAGAAAAATGATTTTTTCAAAGCCTATTTTGCTATTGATGACTTATCTTCAGGCGTGGATGACGACGAAGAAAATGAACGAGAGCCAAGTTTATTCAACAACGAAAGTACTTCAGAAAATCTAAGGGAAAAAATTTTAGATTAAAAATCTAAACAAAATGAATGCACATTACAAAATTTAAAAATTTAGAGAATTAGCATTCTTTCTAATTTGCTAAGAATTTTTCAATATTTTATAAGAAAAACTAGGAAATAATAAATAATTACATAAAATATTGGTTTGTAATAATACTTATTAAAAATATTTTTAAACGTTTTATGATTTGCATCATTTGTTATTTAAAATAAAAAATATTTATAAGTTAATAAAATTAGTCATATAAATTATAAGTCCTTATTTTTAAATGAATGGAATTATTTTATTATATTTACAATAAAAATTCTTTTTTTATCAATTAATTATGACAATCGCTCAAATAATTTTACGTATAATTTATAACGATGCAAATTACAAATCGGCATATTTAAATTTAATTTTAGTTATTTTTGATCAATATTCAATTGATTGTAGAATTATTAAGTAGTTTCATGTATGAATGATTTGAATAGGTGACAAAAAAACAGTAATTAAATAAAATTATAAGAAAAGCAGTTAATGACATAAATAAAAATATTTCTTATGAATATTAATTTTTCTCAAGAATCTTCTCGTTGCCCTTCAAGTTTACAATAATTTGTAGTTAAATTCTTAATAGCATCACCTATGATAATTTTACTTACGAAACAATGAAATAGTAAATACTTGTAATAAAAAAACCCATCACAGGGCGTTCACGGCACAGTGGTAACGTGGCTTAGTTGGATCAAGTATCGTGACAA